TCTCTGAACTCTGAGCTTGTCTAGCACAAATGAGCCCTTTATATCAGTGTTTCCAATGCCACATCAAATCAGAAGGAAAAGTTACTATTTTTTTAAAACCTAAGATTTTGGTTCATACCTTGGAAACCTCCATTCTGCATTTGAACAGCCTTTCTTGTTCGGGCCAAACCCAAAGAGAATAAGTCCTGCCTAGCTCTCATAGTCTAAATTAGTCATCCAAAATCATTCCACCCTGTCTTTTCCTTCTTATCTGCCACTAATACTGCATTTACTCTAGAGAAAGCAAAAAAACCTCGAAACCCACCAGTCATCAGGTTCTGCCCATTGTACTTACTCATCAGTTCTTGAAGCTGGCTCCTCCTCTTATTCCTCACTGCACTGTTGTGGTCCAGGCCCTCATGATCTGAACTATTGCAACAGGCAGCATGCTGCTTATAGGAAAGTGTTCCTGAGCTATGGGAGGAAACCAATCAGAGTGAGAATCCCTTCTCCGCCTCTTCTCTGTGTGTGTAACCTTGGACATGCTACTTACCTTACATGTATGATCATTTGTAAAAAGGGAATATTTATCTTAACTTATGAAAATAAACTTAGTATGAAGTGTCCAGAACTGAACCTAGTACATGGGAAGTCTTCATTAAATGTCCTTTTCCTTTCTTGATCTTTCCCCACACCAGTCTATCTTGTACATTATATCAAAATTGTGCCTCCAAGTAATAAGCCCAATCAAGTTACTCATCTGCTTAAAGACACTCACTGACTTCCCATTGCCTTCAGGCCAAAATCTGAACATTTTTGCATGGGATAGATTTTCTACAGTCTGGTCCAAATTACCTTACCTGCTTCAACTTAGAGCAGGAAATTAGGAAGCTCCTTTGCCACTGTATTCATCTTTTCTTCTCCAGCACCCCAGTACATGGCTGAACCCATGGCAGACAATAATTAAAAGTTTGATAGATGGATGGATGGATGGATGCACAGAGAGATGGAAGAATACATGAACACAAGAATGAATAAATTTATAAGAAGACAAGATTTAAATACTTCTTCCTCAGATTCTGAAATACTCAATAGATCTGAATTAGCAAGCTTCTATAGAAGCTGATCATTTGTTCCTAGGCATTATTCCTGTCTCCCAAATGTTCTGGTTTATATCTAGAGGAAATTCTTCCCACTGTAGACAGAGTATGCAATTTGACTCAGATTATAAATGAAACTGTGCTAGGATGAGATGATTCTACAAACATTTATTGAGTAGCTGTCAAGTGCTAAGCACATTGTGCGCAGTCTGAGACCTCTTAAAGAATGCACACAAGTAATATGGGAGCACAGAGGTTAAAGAACTAACTAGAAAAGGGTGTCATGGTTGTTGAGGTTGTCCAGGTGGTTGTGGTGGGGATCAGGGAAGGCTTCACACAAGAAGAGGAGCCCAAACTGAGTTCTTTTTTTTTTTTTTTGTGAGGAAGATCAGCCCTGAGCTAACATCCATGCTAATCCTCCTCTTTTTGCTGAGGAAGACCGGCTCTGAGCTAACATCTATTGTCAATCCTCCTCCTTTTTTTTTTTTTTCCCCAAAGCCCCAGTAGATAGTTGTATGTCATAGTTGCACATCCTTCTAGTTGCTGTATGTGGGACGCGGCCTCAGCATGGCCAGAGAAGTGGTGCATCGGTGTGCGCCTGGGATCTGAACCCAGGCCCCCAGTAGCGGAGCGCGCGCACTCAACCACTAAGCCACGGGGCCAGCCCCCCCAAACTGAGTTCTGAAGGTTGAGTATGAATATAAGTAGGTCATTTAAACTGGGGTGGAACAGAGAAGAAGGGTTTTCCAAGTGGAAGAAAAAGCATGTCAAACAGAGAAACAAGAGACAGCATGCATCAAAGGTTTTGCAACTCGTTCACTGTGGCTGTAGTTTAGAGAATATTTGGCTGAGAAACACATTTCAAAATAAAATAGGGAAAACTAGGTTGGAGAATTTGTGGAAACAAAAGTGAAAGAGGGATAGAAGGTAGGAGGCTCTCCAGGTGATCTCGTTCATTCCTGTAGTCGTTAAATACTCCCTACGTGTGGACGACTCCTAAATTTATACCTCTAGACCTCACGACTCTCCCAAGCTCCAACTCACCTATTTAATACCTCACACCCAGTTATGTCCTCAACTGAACTCTTCAACCTCCCTGCCCCAAAGCTGTAATTCCCAGAAATATAAATGTATCTCCACCCAGTTGCTTATGCCAGACACCTGAGTTAATCTAGATATGTTCCTCTCCGCGTCTCCACTTGTTAATTAACAAGTCCTGTCAATTCCACTAGCTTAGTTCCATTCTACACCACCTCCACCACTTGACTATTACAATGATGTAACTAATATTTTCTCATCCACTATGATCCCCTCCAATCCATTCTCCACTGTGCAAACAGAATGATCTCAAAATAGTGTTTCTCAAGCTGTAGCCCATTGATCACCTGAGGTGCTTGGTAAAAAAAATGCAAAGTTCCCAGCCCACAACACTGAAACAATCTTTGGGGATGCCTCAGAATCCAGGTATCTGTACTTAATAAGGCCCATCTCCACCCACTTTTGCCATTAACGTTCAAGAATCACCAATATGTGAGGCAGAATAGCCTAGAGGTTAAGAGTAGATACCTTGAGCCAAACGCCTAGAATTGAATTCTAGCTGTGTGTCCTTGGACAAGTAACTCAACTTTTCTGTGCTTCTGTCTCCTCACTAGGACAATTAGGATAATAGTGAATTATCCTAATTGGGTTGCTGTGATGATCAAATGAGTTAAACCATAAGTGGTAGCTTTTATTGCTTCTTACCAACATTTCTGGTTCTCTTCTGCTTCCTAGCAAATAGGAAGATTGTACTTCTCTACCCCTATGAAGTTAAATGGTCTCATGTGATTTACTCAGACCAATGAAATGTGGATTGTTGTTGCCACAGCATAGGCTAGCCCAACCTAACTGGTACAACTTTAAAGCCCTTGCAGTAGGCGTGGCTTAGAGTAACTGCTCAATGACAGCTTCAGAAGAGAAGTTCAGCAACGTGACTCCAAGAAGGAGCAAATTTCCCTTCACTAACTTAAAACATACACCAGATCATGTCACTCCCTTGCTGAAACCCCTCAATCGCTTCTCACGGAATTTAAAATAAAATCTAAATCACCAACTTGGCGCACTCAGTCTAACTTGCTTTGGTCTCCAGGCTCATCTCGCTCACTCTTCCATTCACTCTCCTGCCATACTGGCCTTCTTTTAGTTCCTCGAACATGACAAGCACCTTCTGACAAAAGATCTTTGTACTTGACAAGATCTGAGCTTGAATTTTCCTCCCATGCCTTTTCTCATCCTCATGTCTCAACTTAAATGTCAGCCCCTCAGAGAAGCCTTTTCTGTCCACCCAGTTGAAAGTAGATACTTCTTTACACCCTTTTCATATTCCTGTCTCAGCACTTTTCCTACGTTTTTCATCAAAATTTGACATTAATTCTGCTTCTTTGTTCATTCATTTCCTGTCTTTCTCCAGCGCTATAGAGGGAGTGCCATGAAGACAAGCCCATCTCTCTCTTGTTCATGGTTTTATCCTCAGAACTAAAATAGTTCCTGATACACAGCAGGATTAGTTATGGAAAGATGGGGTGAGGCAGAGGAGGTAGAAAAGAAAGAGGGAGAGAGAGTTGTCCTGGAATTAAATTGAAGTCCTTCTCAATACAAAATACTACCCTAAAATGATTATTTCAAAAAGAAATTGAGAGTTTCTAACAAAAGTGATGAAAACTCTGAAGGTAATGTCTTTTTTATGAAATGATGCTTTATTACTTTCAGAAATGGTATAAACTATAAATTAAGATATAAGTATATTCCTGCCAAAATAGGAAAGTCAATAAAAATACAATTCAAAATCAGCTTTTGAAGGCAAGGCAATGTATCACAAGGCAATGTATCATAAACACAGAAGTCCTGAATCTGAGTTACACCTTTTATTTTGAACATTTCACTCAATAAAAATCTGATATACTGGGTCCAAGTGATGACATATTCCAAACTAATGAACCTTTCCTGTAGCTTAAATAAACAAATTTAGATTTGTTTACTTGATTTCACCAAGTAAAATCAAAGCCAAGAGTATCTGCACAACTCAAGAATGATGTGAATGGATTAGAACCTCCAGTGGTTTACACCTCACCATTTATAACAAACTTGGAGAGTCATCTGAATGACATGGTATTAGACTATGCATTTCCAAGGGCCAAACACTAAAACATACAGAATATCCTTGTCTCTACTCACTTGTTAAAGACTAAGAAATCTGGGATACAGATGTATGAAGTGACTAATCACATACCCCAGTCATTTAAGGAGGAGTTTTCTTGGGTGATTCTGGGTCAGCCATCCTGATCAACCTTGTTGCAAGCTTTCCTCCTCATCCGTCCTGCTTTCTACATGTGGAATCATATGCCGTAACTAAAAGGGAACATCTGTGGGTTATCGGCTCACTGTCTTCTTTCCTTTCCTGCAAACTCACCAAAAACTCTTTGCCTGGATCCCCAAAGGCACACCAAGTAGACCCTATTGTTTGAATCCTTTGGCTGAAAAGGTCTTAAACCAGATCTGTGCAGTGAGGGAACCAAGAAGGTCAGAAGACCTTCCTGATCCAGGAAGAATCCAGCTTCTGGTTGTAAATGACCCCATCTCTACTTTTTAAAATGAGCTGTTATGAGGGAGATGCTGCAGGAAAAGGAGCATACATTAAGTTTATGGTTCTCTTTCATTTCTATTTTCAACAAGCAAATAACAGAATCCAAATCTTTCTCAAATATCTAGATTTTTCCTTTGTGAGCAAAAGACAAATTCTAGTTTAGGGGTTAGAGTCTATTAGATTCAACCTCATTTCCTCTCTGCCTTCTAGAGTTTTTCAGGTTGTTCTTGATACAAGAAGATAGATGGGCTCCTCAGTCAACCGGTAAACATTTATTTAGCATCAGTCTTGCAAGGACACTGCCATTGCTGTCTGGTGAGTTATAAATGAATGATAAAATTCTACCAGTCTCTTAGGCCCAAGTCAACTGCTTCTTCTGTTATGCTTCCTACTACACTCAGTATGAATGAATGAATGAGTGCCTGAATGAATGAAAGTTTGAATGCCTATTTAAAGGAAGGCAACTGTTGTTTTTATCGTTAAAATTCAGATAAGACTACAAAAGTTTAAGGTGACATTTAGAAATGAAATAAAAAGAATCCATATATGTTGTTTTAAATTTTTATTTGCTTACAAAAGAGAATGAAAATAGGTTTGCAAAAACTTATCTGCATGTACAAAGTAATCCATGTAGACAAGGAGGGCAAGCCTTGGAATACTGCTAGCTAAATTGTTCATCAAAGTTGGATCTCTTTGCATTAAAACTGGTGAAAAGTCATTTTTTAACAGTCGAAAAACACTGAAAAACTAAATCTATTTTTAAAATCACTAAATTCAGAAAGGTTATATTCTAACTCATATTCCTGGATACTGGTCAAACTAGTTAACAAGGGATCTCAGAGTTGAATAGATCAATTAAACAAGAGGTAGTTTCTCCAATAATATCCCTTTTTCTCTTCAGCAAGGCTATAGGGGATAGGGATAAATGGCATGATTTTGAATCTCTTTAAATTCCTGTTCTGCTAGGACCCCATGTCCCTTGAATACAGTCATATCTGTCTTGTTGTATTTTGGAACTTGAGATCATATAACACACAAAAGATTCCCGAGTTCAAATTTTTTGCCAATTTTTCTTTGAGCATTCTTCTCTGGAAAGAAAATAATCTGGCATGCCATTAAGACAACAAAGAGAAATCAATCCTATGGGGTCATAGATTAAGGGGATTTTTAAAAAATATAATTTTTTTGTTAATAATAACAATAATATTAACAATATCCAAGGAGGAGATTTAGGCTGATGAAATAAGCCCCCCAAAGGTAGCATACAAACCACATAATGACATTCTTCTTGCATAAGTTTCCCTAAAGGTTTTTGCGGTTGGTCTTCAAATTTCTCCTGAGGCTGTCAGATTCCCGAGCCCCATAGTTCCAAGGCTTCCAGCTCGTCTTGGACAGGGGTGAATTCCGGCTGATCAGGATGGGGAGCTAGAGAGGAAGAGTGGGGGTGGGGACTTGATGGGACCCAGGAACCATAAATTGATATTCTCCCCTCATGTGGGTCCATAGAGACATGGATTTGGTCATGAAACTACAGAGATATCCTGCTTGGGTGGAAAGCAGTAGCAACCTTGACCCGCCGCGCGGCTTGCGCCCTCCCCACGAGGTTTCAGATGGTTAGCAAAAGAAGAAAGGGACAGATACATTACAGAAATGGTTAGAAAACTAGAATCATAGGCAACTGCTTAAATATTGTGTGTTTTATTTACAAAAAGGACCCTGAAAATTCAGCAGAATTATGAAAGACAAATAAATTTAAAAACCCATCTCATGTTAGAAGTCCATCACCAGGGGACAGTGGGGAGGCGAGGTGATCAGAGGAGGAATAGGGAGTAGGGTGGTCAGGCAGAAAGATGCCCATCCATCTTGTGTGGGGACAGGAAAGAGGAGAAGGCACATTTAAGTAACTATTACCGAGCCTTCACACAGGGAAGTTGGGGATAAATTCTTGGTACACAATCATATACATATATCCAGGTTGATACGGAGCAGTCAGTTTCTATTACAATTGACACATGTGATTTGGTTAAGTTCCAGTATTATCATTGTATGTGTTTGGAGCAGGGAGAGCAAGAGATGTGACAGTGGGCAGGTAGGGAAGCAAGTGAGGCAGGGAAGCAAAGTGCCCATTGTTAGGGGCAGAGGCTGGGTGGTGGTGGTCAACAGGACAGTTCTGTATCCGTGGCCAATTGCCCAGGCCAATGTAATCAGAGTGGAGGAGTTCCACTTCAGTGCTGGTAATCATTATAAGGGATCAGATCTTAACAAGGGACAGAGAGATTTGAGAGAATAGGGAGGGAAGAGACGAACAGAGAAAAACACATCAGCAAAATGTTGACCAGTTCCTCTGGCAAATAAGGTTTAATTTCTCCTAAAGCAGAAAATTTGAATTCATTGACTAATAAGTTCATTGCCCCAAAGCCATCTCTGAACTTCTCTCTTGATGCTTCCAAGAGTGACTATGTCAGAAGATGTCCCGTTGCACAACTTGCCAGCATGCAGATGGCAGATGTTTTTAGGGAGCATAATCTTTTCAGAATCTCAGTCTAGTAGTTAGTAATGAGGCAAGGACAGCATAACCATTTTGCTTCTTCTTGAAATTATCCATGGTCACCTAAAATGCATGTGGTGGGCAGGATGTCACCCAACAGAATTGAGAGGACCCTCCTAATTATGGGGGAAGTTCTAAGTTTGAGGTTTCCCCAAGACAAGAGTAAAAATTTATAGGACACCATGGCCACATCACAGCAATAACATAGAACGAGAGGCCCAAAAGAATGTTCAAACATGTCCCTAACTGACCAAATATGAGGTCAGAGGCCAAATCTGCATGGATCGCCATTTGGAAGCAAGGAAGACTTACATGTGCTGTTATTTTGAATTTCCTTTTAAGGTTTTTAAGGGGTAGCCTCTAGAGTAATTTGCACTTTATAGAAGATGCCTCTGGATAATTTAAGGTAGTGAGGAGTTCAAGCTCTGCTTCCCTCCCATAATTGGTCTACTTTTCATAGCACCCCTCACCATTATGGTACTAACCGTAGTAAAACATTGCTCAAAGCCCCCGAGAGGCTGGCACTTACCTCCCACCCCGTAGGCAGAACACGAAGAGGGGTCGCAGTATCCAGGCTGGCCGGAAGGACCTTGTGGTCCAGGCACTCCCAAGTGACCTGGAGGGCCCCTTGGTCCAGGAGACCCAGGGGGCCCAGGGCTTCCTGGCCGACTCTCCCCTGAAGGTCCTAAGAAGTACCCACAAATAAAAATAGTTGGTCTTTTACCAATGCAGGGTGGGTTTTGAGACCACCAAGAAGTAAACTAACTCTTGTAAGAAGCCACTTTATACGTCTTGACAATTAGGGTCATCTGCCTCTCTCTACTCATTGAGTTCTTATTCCTAAATTGGATTCTCTGGACAGAGGATCATACTGTAATCACATATTCTCCTGGAGGTCAATGCTCTTAATTAGCTCAGGACACTGGAAAGAAAAACGTATTCTTTTCTATCACCTCTTGGATATTAAAGGGAAAGGAGCATACCACCATCAACCTGGTTTTCTTTATGGATCTTCTGTTTCCCAGTGCAGTTCTTTATGAATCCAATGAATGGGTGCACACACACACACACACACACACACACGAACACACTCCGTCTCAATCTTATAACTTCTACTGGTTTATGGCCCCAGGTAATTGAAATAAATTAGTCTGAGTCTGAAAGAAATTATCCTGGAGGAGAAAAATGAAAAGTCTGAAATTGGACCCAATATACCAATGTAAATTTCTTTAGGCTAGCTTATATCAACTGAGAATTTCGATTGAGTGAAAATGGGAGGAGGATTAAAATTTTTGTGCATTTAAGAAGTGCGTCAGGCTGGGTTTTTTTGGTTTGTGTGTTTGTTTTTAGGCCTGGAATCCAAGAGTGCTTAAAAGGAATTCTTCAGCTAGAAATGAAATTCTTCAACTAAAATCAAAATGAAAATTAGGAACAAGTATCTCTTTATATTTGAACAGTGTTGTGACTCTCAGATACATTCAGTTCCATTCAATCAACATTCACCAACCATCCGTTCTGTGTAACACATGATGCTGGACCAGTTCCCCATACAATCTCTAATAACAGGAATATGTGCAACCAAAGTGAACCTATTGCATCATGAATCTCTCCTAGAAAAAGTATTTTCCAAAATCTGTAAAGCATTTGATTCAATGTGGCTGAGACTGGGATTATAAATATGCAATAAGATTGAAAACTTAAACAATTCTAATAATATGTCTGATCATCTGAAGACAATTCTAGCAGCACATAGTAATGTACACGAAACTGAAAACTTACACAAAACTCATCCAGGAAGACTACCATGGTGGCAGAAGCTATTAGTGCTCATGAAACATCCATGCGTTCCTCTGGATTTCAGGCTTCCCTTGCAAAGGTGAGTTGGGACCGTATGATTAGTTCCAGCCAGGGAAGTAGGATTGGAAGTGACATACGTCATTCTGCATTTGGGAAGTTGGGAGCTGATGTGTCTCTGTTATCTTTCTCCTGGAGGCCTTTTGTTCCCAAATTGGGGAAAGACACTTTACCCACATTGAGCTTTGTGTGAGTGTGAATTAACCTTTATTGTGTCAAAACACAGAGCATTTGGGATTGATTTGTTTCAACAGCACAGCCTCATCTAGCCTAACTCATGCAACCAATAAGATCCCAGAATATGCTGTAACTTTTAGGGCTTGTATGTTGGGAGGATTATTACTAACAAATTGGCCTTTCAATAAAATGAATGAGAAATACAGCCATTCCAGTTAGGTACAAGGAGATCATACGGCCATTTTCCTCACCAGTGATATCCAGTGAATAGAAAGATTTAGGATTTTCACCTCGCAGTTTCCTGTTAGGTAGGAAGATTTACCTGCTGGCCCAGGGGGGCCTCTTGGACCTTGGGTTCCAATGCCTGGATTTCCTTTTTCTCCCTTGACACCTGTTAGACCTGTTTAAAAAAAAAAAAGAAGAAGAAGAAAGAAAAGAAAAAGTTGTCCTGAACAAGAAATCTGGGTAGTTCCATTTTTCTGGGTTTCAAGAGGACCTCTCTGATGAAGACAGTGATGTGGGTGCCTTTGGGTTATGGTTACCATGGGACATTCAAATTATATTCTGACACTGATGATCTATGCACAATCATATATAGAGGGCTGGTTCTGTGTCTGAGCATGTTGTCTGTATTTGTAATACTGCAAGTCTATCTTCCTCTTTCCTACTGAAGTGGTTCAGCCTGCCAGGAACTGGTCTGTGTCTTTGCACGCACTAGGCCATTCGACGTATGCAGTTGGCACTCCACAAATAACACAATAGAAATCACAAGTGAACATGTCTAACATTTTCCTTTTGGTCCACCCTGTAATATATCTGTAAAAGGCATGAATTATAATTAGGCAGCAAAGTTCTGAAGAGCGTGAGTTTCCATTAAAAACTTGGAAGCTTCGGGAAAGCCTGTGTTTGATTTGGCTGATTCAGTCCCATAAAAATCAAAACCTATTCATGTTTCTTTTCCACGGAGAAGACTTCTTATTCCAAATAATTTACAGTGCTATTAACAAACTATACATTTTCACAGTCAAGAAACAGAGAAACATATACTCTGACACCTCACCGTCCAAACAGGTTCTATCGCAAGATCGCTGGACAGGTGAGAACACACTGTATTGAAGCCCAACCAGCCAGACTGATTACCCTGGCTCACAGCACAGAAGGTCTCTGGTGTCTGTTTTTCATATGCAACAATGCTGTGAAACAGCAGAACGTGGAACTGCGTCTCTATATAATTACACCTACAAAGAAATTATGTGTGAAATAGCAAAGCCTAGAAGGGAATATAAATAAATGAAAACCAGTTTGATAAGTGACAGGCATGCAAGTGATTTAAAATGTTTCAAATAATAAATAACTTTTTTTCCTTTACTAAATGCAATACGTATTCACTGTAGACAAATGAGAAGACACAACAAACAAGGACTCCAGCCCTTGAAAATAATCACTTGTAACATCTTGGTTTAGAACTTCCAGCAAGAAAGGTGTTTATGTAGCATTTGCTTTGAGAATAGTCGGCAAAAAATAGACTGATGAGCAACTAACAGTTTTTTCTACACAGCGCATATAATCACATCTCTGCATATGATTATCCCTGGATTTGAAGCTTTGCTGTCTGCTGTGCTCCCTTGTGACCAGCTCTTGGGGGCAAGGTATACCTGGCATCTTTAAACAAGTCCTTCCTTGTTAGCAGTCAGTCCTCCAGGCTGGTCCACCAATGCTCTGCTTCCCCAACACCCATAACTATTGCACGTGGCCTGGGTGGAGTTTTCTGAGCTCACAAAAGACCAGTACCACAGGGAGAGGGCAGGGCACCAACCAGCAAGCCTGTGACCTCCTGTTTCTGGCCTGACTCTTCTATTAGGAGCTGATAAGGAAGAGAGGGATTGCTCAAAAGTAAAAATACAATCTCATCTAAGTTGAAAGAGCACAGAACTTATTCAGACTAGTCAACATTTAATGCTTGATAGCTAATCAGGTTGTTCAGACAGAAAACCATCCCTGAGTACGTCTACTTACTAGTTCAGCTAATTGGGTAATAATTGGAGTGAGTACTTTTTAGCTGGTAGTACCTCACTTGCCAACGATTGTGTCCTAACGTGCATCTGCGAATTTAGCAGAAACTGCCTCTTCTTCTGTTAGAATTGGAGTCACTTTTCCCACAGGGAACTACTAATTTTTAAAGGATTAGAACACAATGAAATACACCGATGACTAAAGCCAGGCTGCCCCTGATTAACTGTGTGGTGATCCAGAGGCCTCCCATGACCTTACGGTACTCAAGGATCAGCGTTAACAACCTGGCTTCTCAGTGATTCTCCACAAGCGGAAGATGTAGATTAGGCTGAATAGGACTTCCAGGAAGGTATTCTCGGGAATGTCCCCTGATAAGAGTTTCCTGACTTATCCTTTGCTTATTCATAAAGAAAGCAAAAGGCGGAGAAGATTAGGGAGTAGAAAGTCTCGTTGTTTTAATTTTCCAGTTATGTAGAGAAAAACAAGCTTCATTTGACATTATCTGTAATACAACTCAAGGTAAGAGAGGAAGAGCCTCATAAAAATATTCCAGCCCCTCAAGATGCCTAAAATAAATAAATAAATAAATTCTAAGAATATAATTATATATTAACAGAGAATTTTAGAATTTACTATCCTTGAAGTTATATGTTCCCGCTACATGTAGGCTAGTATATTATTTGACCATGTGTTCACTTATGGTTCTCAGAAGGAATATTCACGTCGATGACAACTGAACTTGGCTATAAATCTTTTTTTGGAATGAAAAAACCATGTTAAAAATCAATATTTGAGGGCCAGCACAGTGGCATAGTGGTTAAGTTTGGCCCGCTCCACTTTGGTAGCCCAGGTTCATGGGTTTGGATCCCAGGTGCAGACCTACACCACTCATCAGCTATGCTGCAGTGGTGACCCACAGCTCAGGGCGAATCTTCCTCAAGCTAAAGGAGGAAGACTGGCAATAAATGTTAACTCAGGGTGGATCTTCCTCAGCAAAAAAAAAAAATCTAAGTAACTAAGATGAGGATTGAAATTAGAGGTGAAGTTTAGAAACCTCAGATCTCTAAATATAGATCTGGATATACGTTTGATAAGCCTTGTAGGCCCTGATTAAAAGGAGGGAAATCCGATGTCCCAAAACATCAGCCTGTGACTCTCCATGAGATGACAGAGGGCAATGGAGTCTGGGCAGTGTCATTCTTTACAGACAAAATTGGAGTCATCACCCATAATAAGGGCTTCTCTCATATAACTCTTCTGCAAGGACCCAAGGTGGTGCTCAGATGGGGTCACCAGAACTAAAGGCCAGCATCTTTTCCATAAAGGCATGGGACTCCTGAGTGCACAGGATATTCCCTCCTTCTGAAACACCCTTCTCACCTTGGCAGTCTCCATAAATACTCCTCATTCTTCAAGACCCAACTCAAAGCTTCTCTACAATCATAATGGGCAGAAACACAATGGATTCAAGAGGGCAAAGATTATCTATGTTATTAATATGGTGTCTTGCACATGTACATAACTAACAAGTATTTATTGAGTGAACAAATGAATGAATGAATTCTTTGCTTCCATATTATCAGTGCCTGCTTTGGCACTTATCTCATTGCATTGCTTGTTGTCATGTTCATCTAGCCTGGAACTATAAGCCTGGTGACTGTAGGGGTCATGCCTTATTTATTGCTCTAGTGTCAGATCCTAGCAGAGTCACACACACATAGTAGGTGGCCCAGTAAATACTGGAAGACTAACTGAATGATTAAATATCTACACCAACATGCAGCTGGCTGCTAAAAGCCAGCATCACCTTTGAAGGATCAACAAACAAAATTCTTTAGGCTGGAGCTTCCCTTTTACCTTCACATGCCTGGCTTACGTGAACACTGCTTCTTCTAATAAGTTCCTCGTGTGGCAATATCAACTACTAATGCCTTTTAGAGATGAAAATAATTGAATCCAATTAAGTTTAAGTTTCTGCCATTTTTTTCATAAGCATATAAATGAAGATCTAACTTAACAAAAATATGATTTAGCTAAGATTAAAATATCCTTAGTTTTCCGTGGAATTATCAAAATAACTAGGATAATCAGAAAGAAGTCTCTTCTATTATTCAGTCTTTCCTTTTAAAAAAATTTTCAACAGACTTTATTTTTTCAGAGCCGTTTTAGGTTCACCGAAATATTAAGTAGAAACTACAGAGATATCCCCTTCCCCTATTCATGCATAACCTCCCCCATTATCAACATCCCCCACTAGAGTGGTACATTTGTCATATTCATTCTTTCTTAAGAGTCTCATGAGAAATCATATCAGGGTATCTGATTCTCTCTTACCACTAACCTAACACTGACCCTCCAATATTTTCTTTTACTGGTCTACTAAGAGAGAGACTTATTTGTTTTAGTTCTTCATTGTATTCCCAGTGCCAGGCACAGATTATGCACTCAAGAAATACCTGTCAAACAAATGGATGAATGAATGCAACACAAAGTACGATTGTAGACTTTAACAAACCATAAATATGGTCGGTTGGTGTATCGGCTATGCTTATAATTACCTCACTAGGTTTTGAATGCTAAATGCTTTACATGTATAAACTCATTTAGTCTTCACAAGAACCAAGAGGGCGGGCACTACTATTAACTAAAAGAGGGCTGTGATACAGACAGGTTAAGTCACTTGTCCTTAGCTAGTAAGTAACAGAGCCAAGATTTCAACCCAGGCAGGTTGGTACTGAAGCCTATACAGTAAGAACTGCTCTCCCTGCCTCTCCACCCCAGGCTGGACCTGTGGGCTGCGTCTCTTGCCTTGCTTGCTGTAGTCCGCGCTTCCTGAACTGCCTGCCAAATCAGTCTGCACATTTTCTCTGGTTCCACACTCAGCAATCAGCCTTGTGGTTATCACATTTCCTCAGCTTACTTTCCTTAGTTTGCACACTTGCCCTCTGCTCTAAGCAAGACTTGGGGTTGATTTTAAGAGGATTTATCCTGCTCACTTTGACTACAGGAGCTGGCCCTTAGTTACTGGTTTCCTATTTTCATTGGTCTGTTGGCCTCTGAGTAGGGAGATTTTACTCATTTCTATGCCCCCCTGACCACAGTAAGCACTCCAGCCTGGAGTCTCATGCTGCTCCATGGAGCAGAGCCACTCCCTCTGGATCTCAGACATTCTGAGCAACTCCCAGGATTTATGCCCAGGCAGATATGCAAGGCCTGGGTAATGCCATTGTAATTCTACCAAAAGGTCACAGAAAATGTGAGACAAGGCTTTGGCTGTGTTATTATAGTGTCTGTTACCTGGGAAATGCTGGTAACAAATTGCGACTACAATGTGTTTCTCATTCATCGTATGTTTGAATGCCTACTAGGTGCAAGGTACTGGACTGA